AATACTACAACAGGTGGACCGCCAAATGCAAGCGAAAACATGTTGAGGTCGGCTCCTAAGAAACTCGTTAATTGAGGGATTGCTCATTAGCCGAAGTTAAGAAACTTATGGAAGGTAACTCGTTAACCGAGGCGCTCGTTAACCGAGGGACCACTGTACAGGCATACCTCTTAACTGATTGTTTGTCTCTGTGCTGAATGAAATTATCTGGTGCTAGTCAAATAAAATAATAAAAGTGGGATCCTGTAATGAAGGGGTAAAAAAAAACTGCCTCCTAGAATGCTTTTTCACTGTAAAGATTATTGTTCTCGGAAAATTTTACGGTTCAAAAACATTAAAATGTAAAAAAAAAACGGTTTAGAAGTTTTGCATGGGACCACACACTGTACAGCACACTCCCCTTTTCTCTAATTGAAGTGATCAACCAATGAGAGGGAAGTATGTTTGTAGCTACTTTGCCAGTCAGTTTTGAATGCTGCTCACCCACATATACTGTATTTAGTCCACCATGGTGATAATTCTTTAACTTGTTTTTTACCCTAAATATCAGAAAAAGATCTACAAGTGGTAATGTTGGTAATGTGGACGAACAATCAAGGAAAAGCATCAGTATGGATGCAAAAATGCAGGTCATAAGACAGGTGGAGGCAGGTGAGCGTCATGTTGATATTGGTTGTTTCCCACTGTTGCCATGATGTAAGAAGAGTAGAGTCGTGTTAAGAGCAACAGCAGACCATGGTCAGTGTTACACAAGCTCTGACCAAATGCACTGGTAAGTATTTAACTTACAATATAGTATTTGATGGCTGTTTATCTATAAAATGTTTTTTGTTATACCTGTATATCTTGTGTACAGCATCATTATTAGTGCTATTACTATACCTGTACACAATGAAGCCTTCAGATATCTTCTAGTGCAATTTTCTCATGGGAAACATTCAGAGTATAACAGGAAATAGACTAAAATATAGAAGTTTTGAACAGGTTGAGAATGGTGGAAAGAATTAGATAAATTTATTGGAATGGAAGAGAAAATCAGTGATTGTAAACCATTACAACTTTGGACAACTTCAGTGGAAGTACATACATTCAATGATGTGCACCTTTTGTGGTACTGTAGTAATAATTGTTTGATGTTACATATGGATGTTGGATGATGAGTACATTGGACCCGCCATGAACATGTCCACCATCACACAGTCACTCACTTACTGTCCTTCCTTTGTTTTTGTCTTGGTAGTTGTACATGGGATGTGGTCAAAGTTGACTGTGTTTACAGTGTACTGTACAGTAGAGTATTTTATATTATGACCACATAGTTATACCTTACATTATAATATCATGAGTGAAAAGAGAGAGAAGTAAAATAGATGCTGATAATTCTGGTGATAGTAAGAAAGAGGTTGAAAGTGAATGTGGCAAAAATAAAAGTACTGATTAGTGGTGTGGGTGAAGGACCCTTGGTAGAAAGTGGAAAATGGCCCTGTGCAGCAACTCATTAATGTGCAATGAGTGTGGAAGGTGGGTACACAGTAGTTGTGGTGCAGTGAGGTAGATAGCAGACTGAAGGTGAAGGATGTTACAGACATGATCAGTGCTGGTGGGGGTGCTGAAACATTCTTAGTTACAAAAGTCAAAAGTGAGTGGAGGAAGTTTAGGGATTGCTGCCTTTATCATTACTTTCATTTGAAAGGAAAGATGTTTACACCTGTTGTGAGAAGTGTGATGATGTATGGCAGTAAAACATGGGTGGTTAGCTCCTTGAATAGCACAATACAGTACATCATTTGCCTATGTTACTAAAAATAGATTCGAGACAACATGGCTACAGCGCGGCAACGTTGGAACATGGGACAAACATTAGGATTACAGTTCCAGTATGTGCCAAAAGTCTCAATAGAAATACAGTATATAGTTCATATGCTGACAGCTGTTATGTTTTAGTGTATTTTGTTCTATGTCTTTTATTGAGTAAGATAATAATTGTAGCAGTGGTTACAGTACTTGAATTTATTAACGAGATTAACAGGTAAACAGCGCTTTGTTTGTCCTCCATGCCACTACCATGTGTTTGCCCAGAAGCTCTGCCTACAACTGTGACATCATTGATGAACTGTGCTATACAGGGATGCCACTTTTAATATTTTATTTGGCTAATGCCAGATGACTTTATTCAGCTCAGAGAGGACCCTGTACATAAGGGGTTAAAGAGAATGACTTGCAGGCTTGAGGATGTTGAAATGAAAATGGTGAGGTGGATGCGTAATGTGAGACTGAAAGATTGGAAACCCTGTTCAGAGCGAAGAGGGCAGCTGGGTATTGTATTGAGATTTGTATAGGGTATTGGCAATGTTCTGCATAAAGGTCGGCCGAGATGGTTTGGGCATGTGAAGAGAATGGAGGATACCAACTATGTCAAGAGGTGCACGAGTCTAAACATGGAGGGGAGGAGAGCCAGTGGTAGGCCAAGAATGGTGTGAGGAGAATTGATATTCAGAATTAATAAATTGATGAGCGAGGCTGCAGAAGACTGTGCAGCATGGAAAGCTGCCATCAGGTAGTCACGGCTAACTCACAAAAGTGTGGAAAATAGCCATAAAATAATGATGATGATGAGTATTAATGCTTACAAGAAACCATGTTTGGTGATAGAATGTTAGAAGTAAAGAATATTTATAAAATGAACAAATCTGTGACCCCACAAGTTAACAGAGCCAGAGGGCAGAGGACTGTTATTATAGTCACATCAGATACACAACATTAAGAAGTAGAGTACGGTAACTGTGAACAGAAATAAACCAGCTACTGCAAGTTCATTCATTGTCATAATTTTTTATTTTAAACATTGACTCAGTAAATTACGTGGAAATAGGAATGTGCACAGAAGCTTAAATTACTTCTTTAAGCTCACCGGCATACAGTACAGTACAGTACAGGTACCAGAATCCATCTGATGTGATAGCATATTTTTAAAAGAATTATGTACCTAATGAATATGTTTGACCTCTATATTTTTTAAACATTTTGGTTTAAAAATCTTAAAGTTTTAGATAGATCAGATAGAAATGTGAATGAAATAAAAAACAGACACACACATGGGAAACAACAGATACAGAAAATTTAAGGAGTTAATGAATACAGTAATAGTAATAATAAAATTATGCCAACATGACTACAATGTGACTTTTTATGACAGTTAAATTCATGAAAATTGAACCACACTTGACACAGATGACTGATAATCACCCCAAAGTGTAGGATTAGTTTTAGTATTCCAAGTAAAAATAAGTAGAGGGAGTTAACCTCTTAAAGCTTCTATCTTTGCTGCTCAACTGACTACAATATCACAAGAGATTAACCATATGGCACCTATATAAGTTCAGAGAGTTATAAAACCACTGTACTAGAATATGATTTACTTTCTCACCCATTAACTCTGTAAGCTCCCAAAATTGTTAAGTGAAAGTTACATCAAAATATAAGTTACATTACTTATATTTTGCTGGACTCCTAATCATGTATGGGCAATGAGAGGGCAATTATAGAATTGAATTCTACTACAGATAGCCAAAAGCCTATGAGACCTTTCAGCAATAGCATTAGTGTACATTCAAGCTTGGATTACAGTACTGTATCATATAATAAACATATTAAACATAAATTACAGACACTCTAAGATCAGAAAGCTAAAGATAAGCCAAAGGATAAGTAAAACCTGTTGTTTCACATATGACTGTATGAACCTCATGAGTGAAAAGTGAATCAATTTTTTTTGCCAGAATTGAAGTCATGCTATTTATCACATGAAGTAACTCACGGAACACAGGCTGGCGTAAAACTGTTGTTACGGTCCTTTGTATAAGAAGAATGTCACTTGTTTGATAGAAATACTGTACAAAAATATCAAACAAATGGGATTAGACAAATATATTACAGTATAGAGTATTAAAGTTAGTGAAAGTAGAGAATTTACTACTGTAATATAATTTTTAAAGGAAATAAATGCAAAGAATGAACTAACAATACTATGAAGCAGCAGTGAATGAATTAGGTGTTACAGAGCTGGTTAGTATTAAGTACAATTACCTCATTTTTATTTTTTATTTTTGCTCAGTAGAGAAGCCTTTAGGATTTGATAAACCATGTTAATACCCACTGCTGAACACACGCCAACCCTTGACTTGTCTGTGTGTGTGTGTGTGCACGCACGTGTGCCCAGTCTTGTGTAACTTGATAACTTGAATAAATAGCAATGGAAACTAACCAAACTTAGTGAGTACCGGTATATATTATAAAAAAATTATATAATGAGTTTGACAAATCAAATTTTGCTTCAGTGTTTTTCAGAGTTGTAACCCTTAGACTGTACTGTGACACACTGGGGGACTGAGGCATTTTGATGGTACTCTTGATGACTTCATGTGCACAGACTGATAGGCATTTTCAAAAACTATCAGTCAAGGCAAGGGTGGATTAATATAACATTTTAGTGGCTATACAGCAGGGGTGGGCAATTATTTTTGATGGAGGGCCACTTCATGAATGGTGGCACACTTCGCGGGCCACAGGTTAACAGCGACGAGCCAGTATTGCTGCTATGTCCACCCAACTTCCAAAATTGTCCTTTCTGTAATTAATAAGAATTTTTTTTTCTGATTGCCAAATGCAGTGGCGGGCCACAGAAATAATTTGGCGGGCCAAATGTGGCCTGCGGGCCGCACTTTGCCCACCCCTGCTATACAGTGTATCTCATTTATGTAATTACTGTGCTTGATATTAAAGAATAATGTACTGCATATGTAAGTTGAGGAAATATGTGTGTTTGGCTTATTTCCCTTTTACTTTTGATACCTGTCTTCTGTTACTCTCTCCTGTTCCTGATGTGTTTGTAAACTTTGATCTGCTCTATACAAAAATGCAAATACCTGTATGGGGATAAGTGAAGACAATGGATAAATAGATGAGATAAAAGTTGTTTCATTGCACTTATTTCTTTACAGAACAATGCTGGATCACAAAAGCCTGAAGGGAATCTACAGAGAGTTGGAGTGGCTGAAAGAGGAATGGATTCTCATAATTCACTTGAAAAGATAGATGAAGACAATGGAGAGAAAAAGCAACAGCTCCAGACCTCTACCTGTGGACCTGCTCCTCAGTTTCTCAAAGACCCAGCGTGTGTTTTTACTGATGAACAAGAAATAGAGTTAGTGAAATGTTTAATGGAGGCTGATCAAATTTTTGATGGGTTGAATAAGAAAGAAGTTCGAAGGTTTATATACGAGTTTGCAGTAAAATTTAATAAAATTATCCATAATCCAGTTTGGGATTTCGATGGATTATGTGACACTGCGTGGTTCAAAAAGTTTATTGAAAGACATCCCAGTGTACCCATAAGAAGGAGAGTTAACTCAAGAGCGGTTCGAAAACTTGATTTCACATCATATAATATAAATGCCCTTCTTGACACAGTGCCAAACTTGATACTTGCTGGCAATAACCCAGTAAAACACTGTAGCATTCAATTTGACGATGGTGATGAGGACAATAGTGAGAAAAATATGCGAATTTCACCAGGGAGTTACTTCATAAAGAGGGACCATGCTTATGCTGGTAAAAGTGCAAATAATCATTTCAGACATGAATGGCTGTACAGTACAGCCCCAGACCATATGGAACAAGATGATAATTTGTTAAATAGAGATGTGTCTGAGGGTGACGGCAGTGGGAACAGTGGAGGTTCTCTGAGTGATGGCAATGTTGGAGAAACTGTTTATGTGATGGAGGAGGAAGATGTTCTTGTACGGGAGGAGAACTGTGTGTTTATAAAGGAGGAAAAGGATGTATTTGGTAGTGATAAAGATACGCTATTTATAAAAAAGGAAAAGGACATGTTTGTAGATGACGAAGAAGATGTTTATGTTGATGTTGACGGTCCTGTGTCATGTGTAGATGAAGAGAAAATATTTATTACAAAAGAAAATAATTTGATTGTGAAGGACGAAAATGGCGGATATATGAAGGGACAAAAGTGTGTGTTTCTCAAAGATGACATCGGGTTTAATAAAGAAAGAGTACATATGTTCATAAAACAAGAGAACTGTACGTTTTAAGAAAACAACATTTATAAAAAAATAAAATGCATGTAAAGAAAGAAAAAGAAAAGAATAGTGAAGAAAGTTTATTATTTATTACAGATATGATACAGTACTGTACTGGAAATTGCTAATAATGAAAAGAAAGTGAGGTGCGTCATTGAGTTGTATGACAAACTGTAGAGCAGTACAATATTGTCACAAATGAATATACTGTACAGTATTTTGCATCTTCATTCCTTATGTGCAGTGCCACATGATCTTGGCAGTTGCAGTGCCAAGGTAATATTCATAATCATTCATTCATTCCTTTGTGACTGTGTGTTTGTCCTCCCACCACTATCTCAGCCGTATTCTTAAAACAGCAGGGAGGATCACCCCTACACCTTCCTCAGTAGACTGTATACACTGACACATTAAGGGTGAAGGAAGGAACTCCTCTCTCTCATTATATTAGAATTCTGTGGGTACACTTTATCTCTTCTACACTCTCCCTTTGCATCTTTTTTGAAGTGAACTGACCCTCGAGAAACTTTGTACTGGATTGTTGAGATGAATAGTGTAGGAAACTAGATAGCAAACAGTATAAGTAGAAAAACTAGCCATTAAAATTTCCCAAAACTTGCAAATCTAGTCATACATTTAGGTGATTCAACTATATCAAGATTAGCTTCTGTAATGTATTATCATGCACTATTTTCTTACAAACATTAAATCCATTGATGTATAAGACTACAAAATAGTAGTTGTGAGAGAACACATATTCTGGAGATACATACAGCATATTAGAAGAATTTTTACAAAAATATTGCATTTGATAGCTTAAAGTTTAGCCAAATTACTTGGCATCTGTGAATAGATTGAATTCTAATACAGTACAGTATTGTACTCAAAATATCAGCAAATGAAAGTGAGAAAGTGACTGATACAGTATATGGTAGTTATGGAAAGAAATTTTTATATTGTACTCTACAGGAATATCTCTGTTAGCCGGAATAGCTCAAACCTAGAAATCTCTGATAGCTGGAATTGAAATTTGCTTGGAAAATCACTACCAAAGCCGAAATTTTCCAAAAATTTCCGGCTTTAGGAAAAAAATTCCGAGGTTGAAAATCGAGAATTTTCTGAAAATGTCTCGAATAAAGATGAAAGTTAAAATATTTGTGGGGACCTGACCTGACTCAGTGTCAGGTGGAGGTAGGGTGGGGATTAGTGGTCTCATATAACTGACCTTCTGATGGAATATCAGGTCACCCTTTCTTGGGTGCAGAATTAGTGGGTCTCATGACCTGAAGATGCCTGAATAAACACGAAAGCTAAAGTATTTTTAGGGAGATTATGATAAGTATAAGTATAAATGAGTAAAGTTTTATCCCTTCAACAACATTACATTACATAACATTTTAAAATATGGAGTGAGAAAGCAGAAAGGTGTGAGTAATTAGAGAGATGGAGTGGAAATGAGTGTTGCCAAGTGCTCCTCAAGAGCTGATATTTAACTCGCTACCATGCAGTCACACACACCCAGATGTGTCTTAATTCCCTTGCTGGGGGTGTGTGAGTGGTGTTGGGGTGTGTGAGTGGTTGTTGGAGGGTGTGTTTGTGTGTGATGTAGAGGTGCATGTGTGATGTGTAGGTGGTGTTGGTGTGTTGACGGAAGTGAACCTTTTTTGGGGTGTGGGGTCGCACGGTCAGTTTTCTCCCCCCTTCCTCACTCAAGCGTGGCTAATTGTGATAGGGAGATGAATTTGATACCATAATGATCCTTAATAAATTCTCTACGAAACGTTTCCAATAAAATATCATAAAACAAAATATTTTGATATGATATAGTGATGGGAATTCCATTCTTTATAAAAAAACACTTAAGAAATATTGATACCGGAGTCGGTAAAATCAGTTCTAATTTCGTTCGACACACTATTTTATTTTGTATTTTTCATCAAAATAATCCTGAATACTTTATCTAAATAGTTTGGTTAAATAATTATATTTAAAAAACAAAAGCTCTTTATGATACTGGTGTGAATAGAGTTGTTACTTTTATCCTCTTCACCACTGATCGGTTCGTTAGTCGCTTGGGTGATCGATCACGTCTCTGTTACACACTTCACTCAATTGACTGTAATACATAACTAATCATGTCGTAACACTTGAGATGAAGGTTGGGTGCGAGATTATTGGGTCATGTTACTAACCTGACCCAGTGTTGGGTGGGGGATTAGTGGGTCTTATGACCCGAATATGTCTTGAATGACATTATTTTTTACCTTTTAAGAGAAAATACATAGTACTATACTGTACTGTATTGTATACAGTATGAAGTGTACATGTACAGTATTAATAAGCACAGATTATTACAGTAGCGTATCTGTACAAGTAATGGAAAACAAATACAGTAAACAATATTGTATCATGAAGAGTAAGTACAGAAGATAAACAGTGAGACGACCCTTGTGGGAGGAAGGGGGGCACACCCACATCATAGAGATTTTTAATTTTCAAGTATATATTTTACCAAGCTTTTAGATAAATTATTCTGGATTATTATAGTAAAGAAAAGGAGTTTCTAACATAATTAGAACTGCATTTACGTACTCTCCAGTAGTTTAGACTCGAGGAAAACATCCCCAGCACCCAGAAACGTTTTTGGGAAGTGGGCTAGTGTCTGTCTGTGCAAGAGGTCTAGTTTAGACACTCGGAAACTTTTCCCAGTAACCTGAAAATATTCCGGGGATAAGGAATTTTTCAGGTTTGAGAAAGTCGTCTGGTTACCTGGAAGTCTCTCTTCCCCGGAAGTGCTCTGCACCAATTGTTCCGGCTAACGGGGATATCACTGTACTTACATCACCCATTAAGATTGTTCATTGATCACTACATGCTGGTATTGGTATACCGGTAATGATGATAGTCTTAATTTGATCTTTACCCCTTCACTATGGGGATGCCACTTTTAGCATTTTGTTTGGCTAATGCCAGACAAATTTATTTAGCACAGAGAACACACAGGGGTTAAACAGACTTTAAAGATGTGTTGATTGTGGGACCAAACAGTTATATTTTTGTCATATCTCTAAGAAGATTATAGTAATATTTTGGTTTACAACTTATGTGCCTATTAATTGCTTAATCCCCTGAAATTATATATACAGTCTCTCCTCGACTTACGACGGGGTTCTGTCCCGACGACCAGGCTGTAAATCGAAAAGGCAAAAATATTACTTAGAAATTCTAAAATGGGTGTCTCCTTTTCTTCTCAGCACCACGAAAACTCTCACTTTTACGCTTGCCAGCCATTTTAAAGGGAATTACAAACAAAAATTTTGTCAGTACACAGCGCGATCACTAACGTCGGGACTCGAAAATACACGTGAAAAATATTTTTTTCGACCATGGCTGTCGTAAATTAGCTTTTGGCATTAATTGAACAATTGCGTTATTCCAAAAACGCTTAAATCAAACGCTCATAAAACACGAGTTACCTCTACTGTATTAGTATTAGAGCTATATACTGTACACATAATGTAATTTGGCTATAGGCTGGTGAATGAAGTATGTTTGTGAATCTTCATCTATCACAAACTACAGTGTGTGGTTTCATGAACATTTGTGTAGTCTTATGAGTGAGTTTATTTAGTGAGCCAAGCACATCTGACTCCTGTTCAAGCAAGAATACCACCCCAGTGTTGATGTAGACCCCTGTCAGGGTGCACTTCCCCCAATCTTAAAGGTGTTTAAGTTCACCTAAGCTATGGAAGGAGTTTACTTGCTCCTTTTTGTAAGTGAAGTGAAGAGGTCACCAAACCGACTTTTTTAAGAATATGACCATGTGTGTTTCCACTCCCTCTTTCCTTCTCTGTTCTTTCCATGTCATGTCATTCAAAAAATTCTATTAATGTATGTCGCTTTCCCTTCCATGTATGTCTTCAGTGCCATGTTATAAACTGAACCACCCGTAATCTTGTACAGTATGGTATGTGACTGATCAATAATATCCCTTTAAGTAGGTGACAGAATTCCAGCTGCAGTAGATCTCTTGAAATAATTGTTAAGAGTTCAGGTTGATTTCACACATTGCTTGTACAGTACACTGAAAATATATGAAAATTAATTTCATATTTCAGCTGTTCTTTACAGGAGGAATAGTTGAAGCATGGAAACAGGACATTATAATTATGAAAATACAGTATGTACAGTATAGTACAGTATTAATAATAATAGCTAGTCTTTTGTTAAACAAAAATGATGAAGAAAATAACAGAAGCAGTGTTTGTGACAAGTGTGACGAGGAATGCTTAGGAAAGCACTGGATTGTCTTCAGTAAGAACTTTATAATCAAAAGTTAAAAAGTTTAGAAATTTCAAAATGTTTTGGAAGTATGATACTGTAATTTTATTGTCTTGCTGAGTTTATTTTTTCATAACACCATTAATTTCAAGTGTAGAGTTACAAGGTATATTTTAGATTTTTTTGTTTTTACATTAAAAACAGTATTTATCATTAAATTAATGAAAAAAATAATAATACAGGGTAATAAGAATATAGTTATGTTGGCAGTAAAGGTCAAAATCTGAATTACAACAAACCAACAGCTTAATGCATAAATGTGTAGTGGAGCTACTTAAAGTTATTTGTGGAAGGGACATGGTTATCGATGGATTAACAATGATATACAGTATCCTAAATTGACAACTGTACTGTTTAAAGTGGATACTGTATATAAATTTAATACAGTACTCTCATTCCATTGGGCATTTGTACACCCCTTCCTTCCTGCTGCAGCATGCATAACTTTATAAAGGAATGTCTTTTGCTGCATCACATACTTGATTGCTCAATTGCTCACCACACTAGTCCTTGTGGAGCTTTTATTAGGTCTACAAAGCTCCGAAAATGATCTAAGACATGTACAATACCAGTATATATTTATGCAGCTAAAAGTGCCATGTGGAAGATTTTATGAAGAAACGTAAAAAATTTCCCAATATTGAAAGTAAACATAAAGTCCTCTGCCCTAAAAGTAGATAATTGAACTAGCAAAACTGAGCCTTAATTAACCTTAAATGTCATGTTACTGTGGACATATGTTTTAGCAGTTTACCATCATTAACCAGATATGTTCAGGGGACCTTTAGCCTTAGAGAAAAGGATTGAGTAGTGTGAAAGTGAGACAAAAATGTTAAGAGAGGAGGTGGGAATGGTTGTACGTGAACTCAACAGTGGGTGAACTCTGTTGATCCCTTCACTACAGGGACGCCACTCTTTAATAATTTATTTGGCCAACTCCAGATTATTTTATTCATCGCAGAGAGGACCCCATACACAAGGGGTTAAAATATTGAGAATGGAGGACAAAATAGTGATGGAATGGATGACAAGTGTTTACAGGAAATGATAGTGGATGGTAAAGAGCATGTATAGTTCCCCTGTATAACGGGATAGGTGTCAAGCATGAATGGTAAAATTGCTGAGGAAGAAGTCTGATGAGTTTACCATGATAAGTGTATGGCAAAGTTAATATTGAGAGACTCGTAACAAAAACTGTGTGTGTGTGTGTGTGTGAACTCAGAAAGGAAAGAGTATTATTGATCCACGGTTTTGCAGAAAACATCATAGGAGAAAAGTTTCTATAAAGGGGAATTTATTTTTGTATATACACAGGTACTGTATACAGTATAGATTTCGAAAAAGCTTGTGATAAGAATAGATAGGAAAGTCTTAAAAAGTTGTAGAAAATTGTTGACAGTTAATATAGGGAGAGTGAAGTTTGTGTTTAATGTTTGCTTGGAAGAGAAAAGCAAGTTCTTTGTAAAGTTAAGACTCAAGGTTGTTTAATATCACGACGGTTGTTTAATATCACCAAGGTTGTTTAATATCACCACGGTTGTTTAATATCACCAAGGTTGTTTAATATCACCACGGTTGTTTAATATCACCACGGTTGTTTAATATCACCACGGTTGTTTAATATCACCATGGTTGTTTAATATCACCACGGTTGTTTAATATCACCACGGTTGTTTAATATCACCATGGTTGTTTAATTTATTCATGGATTGTAGTTAATGATGTTCATAAATGAGGTTTAGAGAAAATCGACTGTACATGTGAATCAAAGTAAAGTGATGAAAGTGTAAGTAGAGATGGGGGAAATGAATGTTTGCTTGAATAGAGATGGAAGGAGGAAATTAAGTGTTTTATGTATCTGTGAAGGCATGTGTCGACAAATGGAATGATGAATTGAACCAGAGAATACTGGCAGGAGAGTAATGATGAATGCATTGAGAAGTGAATGAAGAGAGAGAGGGAGAGAGAACAGTGTCAATGGATGTAACAACTAGTACTGTATAGATAAATGGGGATATGCTGAGGAATGGTTGAGCCAACATTATAAGTGGGAAGCATGGACGTTAGCAGGATACAAGACAAATAAAGATTAGAAGTGACAAAAATAATGTGCTTAAGGGGTTACTAGGATGCAGAAAATAAGACATATAGAAAGAAGATGTAGAAGTGTTAAACGTAGAGCAGATCAGGGTCTGCTCAGTTGATAAGGATATACCGTACAATAATAAAAATATTTTATTCATTGAAATTATGATACAGGTTTACAGTTGGATAGCCACGTACAATATATAAACTATGCAGGTGTACAGTTCAGTATGAGTACGTATATACAATGTAGGTACTGTAGTGCATATGGTGCATGTAGGCAGTGGGAGAATAGTTTCCTGTGGGCCTAGACAGAACTGTATAGGTAAACAACAATGATAAACAGTAAGGCAATTTGACCAAGGATAGCCAACAGAGCTGCCAGATTGGTAAAAAGAGTACAGTTCTGTACAGTATATGCATTAGAGGTAGATGATAGGAGGGAGAGGGAAAGGTTTACCAAGAAGCAGGTGGAGGTTGCACCAGAAGTAAGGGGGATGGATATTCCAGGAAGAAGCAGTCGTGTACACGTGACAGCAGTGAGCATTAGATCAAGTAGTTTTTGAGGAAGGATATACTGTTAGCATTGTTGTGGGTGAAATAACAGGTATGTTGGACATTTTACAGCAATAAGGATTGAATGAAAATAAATGAAGGAAAATTTTGAGTGTACGTACCTGTATATGAATTTGTCTAAGGCCACCTGGGTTCAATATCAGGGGGCTTAAAAAAAAAAGTCCTTTTTAACCTTTCTGCTGTAATACAGGTTAGCTATAAAGTTAATCTTTATTTTGGAAAGTCCAAAAGCTGTATTGCATCATATAAATACACAGGGTACATGTATTAATAAGGTGTTCTTAAATATAACCTAAAATATACAATGGTACAGTTCAGTACTTGTATATACATGATACAACTGTATTTTCAGGGATATTTCATGATAAAATAATATGACACAAAAATTTTACAAAACTGAAAATATATAGTGCAGATGATATGCAGATGATTTTTTTCATTCTTTAAAAATAAAGGTGGTTTGAAAGTGTTTTGAATTTAACATATTTAAGTATTATTGATGTAAAAGATGTCCTTAATCTCTGCAGCAGTCCTCCCAAGGCCTTATGGTGCAACTACCAGGAGGAGGACAGGTAGGGTGCAGGAACAAGACTGAGGTGACCCACAGCTCTCACCATCAGTCCTAGGTTCTTGTTTTACTGGACATGCATCTTATTTAACTTTATACCTTTGTTTTGTCAACCAAAGATAAACAATAAAATGTGGTACAAAAGTTTTAGCCCGTGCATTGCATCTTATAAATTCCTATACAGTATACTGTACTGTGTACTTTATCATGTTGACTCTTCAGCACAATCCCACAAAAGTTTTCAATATGGTCATCATCATGGTCTAGTACTTTATTGAAAACAAATTTGAGAGGTACCCAGTACTCAGTCCAGTAAGAAAAGTTATCTTCAACATACAGTATACAACACTGTACATACAGTACTTGCTTTTATGAAATAACAAGCAATTAGTTTTAGATAAGTCTCAAGTAATTTGGAGTACAGATTCAGTATATGAACAGTAAGACAATGAAGTATCTTCCCAGCTTTGGCCAAAGTACTGTATAGTGAAACCTGACTACCCAACACAGTGAATGGTGTCACTGGGCACCCTTTTCCAAGGTTCCACAGGCCTGCCAACTGTTTATGGGCTTCACGTGTGTGTTAAATTGTTCAACCATTCTGAGTTGTATTCATCAAATCCATGGGAACATACTTCATTCTCTCATTGTACATTACAATGTGGATTTAAAAAAAAAATCAAGCCCATTCCTCATCTAATTTTCTTAGAGGAGAGTAAGGTCGAATTAGACTACTGGAGCCAAGGGTCTGTCAGAGAATGGGAGACTAACTAATTTTATTGGAATATAGAAACAGGATCTTTGGCCATTCATAGTTGTTTCAGAAGGATTGAAGTGGATTATAGCCTCAGTATCGAGTCCAGAGCGAGATAAATTCAGATGTCCAGAGGGGGATTATGTAGGTGAAATAGGTAAAAATAAATTTCATCTTTCATGTCTTAAGTCATTTTAGGTCTAGGGTTTCATCACTATCATCATGAGGGATTATCTTGTTTCAAATCTTCTGGTGATCATAGACAAGACTATCAGGAACAATGGAGGGATCCTACATGGTCCACTGGCCTCCTTCCCTCTAGTGGGTGGCCAATAGATAAAGAAGGTAAATAGAGGAATTCATGACTTCAAGTGGATGAATGAAAGAATTCCTGATGCTGAGTGTAGGTTTTCCACCATTAAACAAGTGAGGTTAAGCTTCAAGAAAAACCTTTGCTTGATCTTTGTTGAACCAAAGGATATCTACTGACATGTTCCCTTTGATAAGCATTTCTAGTTGAAGCCCATCATCAGTTGAAGGTATTGTGCCATTTTTTAAGTTGTAAATGGCTTCAAGAAGGTACACTAAGCTTTCAAGGGGTTGTTGTTATGGATTTTAGGATATAATTTGATTTTCAGTCTGGTGTCTATAGAAAGATGGATTATTTTGGGTACAACTTTAAAGGCAATATAGAATTTAAACAAAGAGTGATTCAGTGTTTAACGAAAGCTGTATTTTTAGATGAAATTGGTAATTTTTGGTTCTAGACAATATTTACTATGGTTGGGCTTCCAATGTGATATACTGTACATGCTAGGAATGAGTTGGTTGGACTTTTTAACGTCTGTTTGGCTTATTCCCCACTAATTTAGTTACCGGTACATGTTCTTCAAATTCTTCTGAGAGGTTCCTATATGGACCCCAGGAGACTTTGGTCTCCTTCCATGTTGGGTTTGTATGTGAACTTGAAAGAACTAGTTGTTTTGTTTGTAGTTTCTCTATTACTCGGAAGACAAGCTTGATATTCCGTTTCTCATTACTGTATTTGTTTTGCCAGTTCCACAGGAAAGGTCAGTGGGGTTGGATGTTATTTTCTTGAACTGAAATCCTTAGGACCAGGCAAATCTTTTTTCTCCTCTTCCAATAAGTTTTAAGAGATATCAAAACTATTGCAACACGGGGGTGTTGCCTTTTCTAGTGGTTTCTCTTGACCCAACAGGGTTTGGTTACCTCAGTGTTATAAATTTTCCAAATGGTCTTTCACTTCTGGCCCCAACCTAAAGTCAGAGTGAAAGAAAACAAGATGTTATGCCCTTATTAATCATATAAGTTACGTGTCTGAGTCTTCTTGGTAGTATTCAACAGAGGTAAGACCCTTGGACAAAACGTCCTTGTTAGTTGTCCTCAGTGAGAGGTTTAGTAAGTTCATTCTCCAGTAAGTTCATGGCCAGAAGGAAGTTCTCGGAGTTGGGGGCACTTATGGCCAGAAGCTGGGCAGTCTTGTGCTAATGGTGCTTACTCAAGCATTGCTCTGGTGATATTTTTCAAGCTTGGTTCATCCCAGCTGAACTGTTTGTGAACCCATATAAAAGATGGTCTGGAAGATGGGGCTAAGGCCACTAAGTAAGGCAACCCATTGGGTGGCTCACTGTCCATAGCAAGGGTTTGGCAGTCTCCCAGGTGCTCAGTGGAAATTTCACTTACCATATCACACCTAACCAGGAGAGTAAGTTGTCTCCACTGTACAGTATGTCCTCCTCTCCTGGTGGAGATTAATGCATTATTCTCACAATGACTTAAGCAAAGGTGCTGTACTTAGGTAATGTGAGGACAGTGGAGAAGAGTAAACACTTCAAGAAGTAACTTATCCTAGGTAAAACTAGACCTCAGGTGAGGGGGTAGAAGGTATTAGGAGCATCTGTAATTCTGTATCAAATATCCTTAACTTCATCCTTATGTCTGCTAGTGTCTGCTGGATCTGAGTGGAGGGATAGGCAGCATATACTGTTTAGTAATATATTGTGTATTCACTTTCTCTGTATACATGAATACAGTGAAGCTCTGAAAAGTAATGGACTAAAATTCCTTTGCGAAAAGAAATCGGTGAAAGAGAAACATTGTAATGCCATGTATAAACTTCAGAGACAGTCATTCTTCATGGAAGTACGCTACAGTATTCTCCACGAATTTTATTTAAAAAACACATTCTATTATACATTATCTCGACTATTAACAATACATAGCAGCATATAATACTTACCATGATCAGACTAGAGTAAGTTATACAACAGCTAACCACACTTCAACAGTAGAGCCAATTGTGGTGCTCCTTAGGGCGACAAAGGAGAGGGCAGTGAATATAAGTCCTCTCCCGTCGATGCATCCTGCGGTATGATCTTTGTCCTACGAAGGTGAAGTTTACTCTTTGTGATGGAAAAGGCAAAGATTTTCCAAATCTTCTGCAAGTGTAGGAGTCGTGTACTGTAGCGTTGAGGCGAGCCACTGGCCACAGGTGTGACTGCAAGAAACCAGGAAGAAACAACATAATATTTGCACTGGTAAAACAAGGAATGCATTAAAACACAAAACAACGGCTTGGTGTATACAAATCATAAAATGGTTATATTGATGAGAATAATGTCAACCACTTGGTCCAGGTGCCATTTTCCAGTCAAGAGTTAACAATCATAGTTCGTATCTCCAAATGTTTAAAGCTGTCTTTACTAACCTAACCACATTTTTCATCTCAACAGGAGCCCTCTTACCTTCACTTTTGTCTTGTGTATATTTTAATCACCATCTCCCTGTTTATATGACCAAACTATGTTTATTTCATTATTCTATTGTTTCTCTGTTTTTGTTGTTGCAAATCTCAGTCATATAGACAATGCAGGTGTATACAGTTCAGCATGTATACCAGTATACAGTATAAACAATGCAGGTACAGAATACATTTCAGCATGTACCCAGTAGACTAGTATGATTATCAACCGTGATATTAATTATTTGTTCAGTATTACTGAACAAATAATTTATTAACTAATGATGGGGCAGAAAAAGTGTTTGGAACTTAGGTGTACTGTAGCGCAGGGAGAGATACTTTTAAACAGGATATGCAATTTCCAAAGCAAAAAAAAAAAAAAAAAATTTGGTCCACTGTAGCCATATAACAGAATTAATATGAAGACTGCAGTGAAAAAAAAAAAAAACCATTTTAGCAGTGAAAAAAAATTCGAACTAGCAATGCTAGACGTGTCTCAAGGTTCAAGCTATGCTCTCAGTGAGACTCGGTTACCTTCCATCAGTCAAGATAGCCAGTTGTGCTCCATGGTGTGATGGTGATTCAGATGAAATTCTACTGCTGACACTGGGACTAACCAAGAAAAAAAGGAAAGTGGAAAGTGGCTTATGCGAGTCCTATCTTCAAGAAGGGCGATCGTCACTCCACAAACAACTATAGACCGGTGAGCCTGACCAGCATAATATGTAAAGTACTTGAGAGTATTATCAGAGATGCCGCAATGGAACATCTAATACGAAACAACCTTGTAAAGGATTGCCAACAGTTTTATGCCGGGGCATTCGCTTAACACAATTGCTCAAGGTATTGGATATTTGGACCCATATTCTGGAACAACAGGGTGGTAATATCGACAATATTTACCTAGATTTTGCCAAGGCTTTCGACAATGTACCCCATGAAAGGCTGAAAATCAAACTGGAAGGGTACGGAATTTGGGGAAATGTCCTAGCATGGATAGAAGACTTTCTACATGACCGCAAGCAGTGTGTGGTGATTAATGGCACAAAATCGTCATCCGTACCTGTCACAAGTGGGGTACCACAGGGCAGTGTATTGGGCCCACTGTTGTTTGTTTGTTTCATAAATGACATGCCTGACATTGTACACTCCTCCATACAAATGTTTGCCGATGACGCCAAGTTATTTCGGGAAATTAAGAACCAAGCGGATTGTGAATAGCTGCAGAAGGATCTCTGTGGGCTCCAGGAATGGTCGAAGAAATGGCTGCTGAGATTCAATGTCACGAAGTGTAAGAGGATGCACCCGGGGCGTACCAACGGTAAGGAGGCGCATCATATGTCCCAACGGGATGAAGAAACTGCACTAGTTGAGACTGAATGTGAGAAGGATCTAGGTGTGTATGTTGACAATGAGTTGAAGTTCTCGGGCCATTGCGAGAAGAAGGTAAACCAGGCAAATAAATTAGTGGGTCTCATAAGAAGGTCGTTCAGATATCTAGACGGTCCGTCCCTCGTAAAGATCTTCAAGAGTGAAGTGCTTCCCCATCTGGAGTACTGTCACCCCGTCTGGTCCCCGAGATATGCTAGGGACTGTCGGCTGTTGAAAATGTTCAAAAGAGGGCCACCAGACTGGTGCCTCCACTTCGGCACCTCAGCTACCCTGAGAGATTGGAGCCCTGAACTTACCTAGTTTATACTACAGACGGGCAAAGGGTGACCTAGTTGAGGTGTATAAGCATCTCAGGGGGCACTACTCAGTCGAGTGTCCTTACTTGGAGCTGGCAGACGCTCGCCCCACAGGGGTCACAGCTCAAGATTGAAGAAGCCGCAAGTCCAGAAAACTGTGAGGGCAAACTTTTTTGGAGTGAGGGTTGTAAACTCTTGGGACAATCTACCAGAAAGTGTTGTGACGGCACCAAGTGTGAGCTCTTTCAAAACAAGACTTGACCAACACTGGAGCGGGTTCAGGTACATTCAGGAGCCGGTGCATGCCCAGTACTTGCCAACAGTGAGTGACAGAGACGTGACCGATCGCCCGGGCAGCTAGCATGTCGATCTTTTGGTGAAGAGGATACGCTAAATGAAAAGGAAAAGTAATCAGAGACGTGACCGATCGCCCAAGCGGCTAACGAGCTGATCAGTGGTGAAGAGGATAAAAGTAAAAGAAACAAATATGAAAAGGAAAATATGGAGCATCATTCAAACAATACTGTATTTTAAATTATCTCACGCTCAGTTCAAAGACGTCTTGTTAGTAACTGAAAACTACATTAAAAATCTGGATACAGCCTACAGGAAATCAATATCACCTCAGTAAATTCTGGCCATTTGTCTACGGCAAGTAAAACCCGAACATACCCTGGTATTATAAAAAAGCTTATTGTTAATAAATTCAGAGAACATACAAAATATATAATAAAAACAATAATGAATAATAACACAAGAAGCAGAGGTGAAGAGTTTGATTGGGCCAAATATACCATGAATTAAACCCAAAATCATTTTAATTGGTTGCAAAAACAAAAACGGTTTTGATTGGCTGCGTGACGTGTACGGGAAGGTATGCGTGTGATGAGTAATGAAGGAGACGCAGGAGACACGCATTGTTGGAGGTGAGGCAGGCGATAATGGAGGAAGATTAATGGAAGAAAATAGAGAAAATTTTGGATATGCTATCTCCGTTATTATACATTTCCGCTGGTAATGTAATAGATGAAAATTATCTTATAATTAGACGTCTTATTCAAATATGATAATAGATTAGTGGTAGGAATGAACGGTGTGTAAACGCAATAATAACTTGTTCTCGGTGTCACATGATACTTGTGCGTATACTCAGAGTTTTGAATTGTGCTTGGCTGGTTGACTAGTCGCAAGATGGATTCTCCATGCAAGGGGTGTTTTTCGTCAGTGTTTTTGAAAATGAACCTGCTGCTATTGACATTTTTAAGGCTCATGGCATTCTGCAAACTTCTGTGAAGTGTTCAAAGTGCTGTCACAGACTGTCACCTTTGGTTTGGTACTAAAAGACAGAAACTCACCAAGACAAATCTCCTCACTGTGGCTTCTGCATTTCTGCATTTAAGTGAAGGCACTTGGTTGGACAAAGTACCTACAAATAGCATCGATTTATCCTCTAGCAGCTGATGATTAAGGTAAGGTTTAATTTGTTTGGTTAGGTTAAGTTGGGGCAAGAACTTTTGGTAAAATTTCACTTGTTGCCACAGTTTTTTATGACATTCATTTCTGGCACAAGCCTATAGTTTCTGAGATAATCCTTCCACCTTCCCTCTCAGAATTATGAGATTTTCTATAAAAATCAAGGTAAAAAGTGTTCAAAACACACCAAAACCATCGGAAAAACCAAACCCAAACCTAACTTAACTGGAGAGCTCCACAGTCGTTCGATGTTTTATGTACCACTAAGTCGTTCCATGTTCTTTTACTTTTTTACTTTTTTACTTTTATCCTCTTCGCCACTGATCGGCTTGTTAGCCGCTTGGGCGATCGGTCACGTTTCTTTTCATTTATCTTCTTCACCAAAAGATCGGCTCGCTAGCCGCCAGGGCGATCGGTCACATCTCTCACGCACTGTTGGGTGTACAGTACATACACAATATATCGCTTATACGTAATTTGCGCCAGAAATACCATTGAAGAAAAGTGTCTTAGAATTGTCAAAACTACTGATTGAAACTATAAAATTCCCGAGATGGTGTAGTGGCAACACGTGAAATAATAGCGAACTTTTAACCTATCAGTCATTTTCTAGTGCTATAACTTAATTGCCAGCAGTTACCATAGTATATTACCTGTAGCTTTATTATATCACCTTGAAGATACTTAATAATGTAGAAATTGCATACAAGGATTTTAAAACTCATAGGCTCCATTGAAGTGAATTTTATAATCCCAACGAATGGCTCCACATTGAGCTACATGCGTGACGTGACTGACGTCACACCTTTTCAGAGACTGAAAGGGTAGATGCTCTACTGGTGTTCATGTATTCCATGTGTCTACTAGTTGAGTTTATTTACTTTGAGTGAATACCAACAACAGTGACGACCTAGGAATGATGTCGACTTAAGAATGGCGACCACTCACGAGTCACGGGCTCCTTACCTTAAGGATCTCCTGGTCGGCTGTATCGGCCTGGGCGTGACAGAGGGCATAGTCCATCGCCTCTATTGCCTCTCCCACTCGCCAAGTGTTGCAGCCTCCCCACATCCCCGCCAACATCGGTAACGAGTGGTAGATGTTGTCCCGCATTATGTGGTAACACTGCCGGTGGTGAGTGGAAATGTCTGAATGCTCTCGACATTCTGAGACCGTTCATGTGCACAAACAACAAACCCTAGCTACTGATTGAACGTGATTTCTAACACAACAACCCAGTAAACATGTTCTTCAATGGCCGCTTGGCTGCTCTACAAGGTTGGAAAGTATCCCCTCAAAAATGTAATAGAAAAACGGAGGTGATAGTTGGAATGTACAGTACTGTATATGCTGATTTTTTGAGAGGGGCTACAGCAGCTAATGCAACCGTCCCAGAAGGCGAATTTGAAGTTGAGAGTTCAAGCACTAAAGAGAAAACGTAATATTAACTAGTTCAAACTTCAGTTAATATACCAACAAGAATAAATTTCCCCGATTTTATAAAGGAGAGAGAATATGGGTGAGTGATGTTGGCTACGCCAAGGAGAATAGTCTTGTTGACGTGTGTGGTGCTGGGCTGGGTGATAGTGTTGTTGACGTGTGTGGTGCTGGGCTAGATGATGGATAGGTTGTTGGCGTGTGTGGTGCTGGGCTGGGTGATAGTGTTGTTGACATGTGTTGGTGCTGGGCTAGATGATGGATAGGTTGTTGACGTGTGTGGTGCTGGGCTAGATGATGGATAGGTTGTTGACGTGTGTGGTGCTGGGCTGGGTGATAGTGTTGTTGACATGTGTTGGTGCTGGGCTAGATGATGGATAGGTTGTTATATGATGGATTGTTGACGTGTGTGGTGCTGGGCTGGTGATGGATAGGTTGTTGGCGTGTGTGGTGCTGGGCTCAGTGATAGATAGTGTTGTTGGCGTGTGGTGCTGGAGATGATGATGGATGTGATGGGTTGTTGGCGTGTGTGGTGCTGGGCTGGGTGATAGTGATTGTTGACATGTGTTGGTGCTGGGCTCAGTGATAGATAGTGTTGACGTGTGTGGTGCTGGGCTAGATGATGGATAGGTTGTTGGCGTGTGTGGTGCTGGCTGGGTGATAGTGTTGGCATGTGTTGGTGCTGGGCTCAGTGATAGATAGTGTTGCGTGTGTGGTGCTGGGCTAGATGATGGATAGGTTGTTGGCTGGTGCTGGCCGTGTGTGGTGCTGGGGTGATTGTTGACGTGTGGTGCTGGGCCAGTGATAGATAGTGTTGTTGGCGTGTGTGGTGCTGGGCTAGGTGATAGATAGTGTTGACGTGTGTGGTGCTGGGCTAGGTGATAGATAGTGTTGGCGTGTGTGGTGCTGGGCTCAGTGATAGATAGTGTTGACGTGTGTGGTGCTGGGCTAGGTGATAGATAGTGTTGGCGTGTGTGGTGCTGGGCTCAGTGATAGATAGTGTTGACGTGTGTGGTGCTGGGCTAGGTCATAGATAGTGTTGTTGGCGTGTGTGGTGCTGGGCTAGGTCATAGATAGTGTTGTTGGCGTGTGTGGACGATGGTTATGTTTATGAATCGCGACAGACTGTGAAGGATGGTCATCACTTACCGTGTGTGACTTGAGCCATTGGTCCACGGCGTCCACCTCTCTCTGTAGGACGGGGGAATCGGAGTCACGAATCATGTAGTGGCTCACCAGGGCGTCCCCCACCACGCTGAATCTCCACACACGCCCAGTAGAGCTGCTCACGTCCCCCAGCACTGTATCCGGGCACAGGTCAGTGAGGGAGGCCGACGCAAAATGAGAGACAAGGGAAGGGAGGGAGAGGAGTGAAGAAACAGGTGAAGGGAGAGAAGAAACAGGAAGAGAGAGAGAGAGGGGAGAGCAAGTAGAGGAACTTAGTGATATTATGTGGGAAGGCGCTATAATACGGTTCAGTATAATATTCTATTATGTCATTTATTTAGTTTACTAGTGCTGCTTGCTAACATTGTCCAGGGCAGTACTACATACTAAAAATATATATATACATTGAAATATGTGGCAATTTTGCATTTTCAACCAATATGAGCTATGTGTTTTTCCGGAGGTTTAGAGTTTAGACAATTTTAAGACACTTTTGTTCTATGACGTTTCCTTCGCAAATAACCTAAACTTACCTAACCTAACCTAACCGGGGGACTTCGCTCCCCTGGATCTCCCGGTACATTTAGGTCATTTACAGGGGAAACGTCATCGAAGAAAAGTGTCTTAAAATTGTCTAAACCATCGGAAAAGCACATTGCTCAACTTGAGAGCCTTATTGGTTGAAAATGAAAATTTACCATTATATAGAACTAGGAATATCTACTAATGAGTACAACCCTCATAAGGTCATTGATATATACCGGTATATATTGGGACAACACTGAGGCTGTCTGCGTGTTGTGTGTGTTGTCTCCTGAAATTTAAGTGTCATACTCACAGAAGGCAAAGGTGCTTTCGAAATACTCGTACATTATAGGATTCATTCACTGTATGCAAGTCAAAATAGCAGACAAATTGGCTTTGTGTATTCTTTCTGATTCTTATTAAGTGTGCATACCGCCAGCGTGTTAAACTAGGTTTAGATTTCACATATACAGTACAGTATTCAGCACACTGATGTCACAAGCTCGAATGCTGAGCATGCATTTTTTTTATCAGCTTTAAAACAGCAATTTCGTGGCCATCTTTCTTTCGTGGAATCTGTAAACAGGGTCGCTGCGTTAACTACAGCAGAAATATCATTTGTGTTTATTGTAAGTGTAAAGAACTACAGTAGTGTGTTGGGGCCAATTTCTTTTATCAGTTTAAAAATGATGATTTGGCCGGCATTTTATCTCCACCGACAGTGTCATTGTTAACAAGAAATTATTTTATAAACCAATTACTATCTGGCAGAAGAATAAAAGTTCGACAATGCTGTGACGAACGACTTTCAAATTTTGGTTTGGTTGAAAATGATAACCAGACAAGTGAAGTTCGGCCCCCGCAGCAGGAGGGATCCAGGATCCGGTCATCATAAAAAGTAGACGCGAGGCTAATGTTGTACTGTACTGTACACTATAAATAACACAGTTAGTTACATTACTACAGGAAACACGAATAACTCACTCGGTAGCTGTCTGACATTGCACACGTCGAGGTGAGGATGTTCACACACCAAGGAACACACCCAGTTCTGCAGGGAGGTGCTGCTGATGTCTAGATACACACGGACACTCCAATCGGGGTACACCTGGCGGAGACGAGGCAGCAGCTCCTCCATTCCCTGGTAATAATCGTTGGGGAACTTCCCGTACACTGAATAACTCACTACCTGTAGAGGAATAAACTCTGTTACTGTGGAGTATTTTATTTTACGTTCTTTACTGAGCGATCACCGTGTACCATCTGATAGTGTTGTAAGGTGTTCATAGTGTACCATCTGACGGTGTTGTAAGGCGATCATAGTGTACCATCTGATAGTGTTGTAAGGCGATCATAGTGTACCATCTGATAGTGTTGTAAAGCGTTCACCGTGTACCATCTGATGGTGTTGTAAGGCGATCATAGTGTACCATCTGATAGTGTTGTAAGGCGATCATAGTGTACCATCTGATGGTGTTGTAAGGCGATCATAGTGTACCATCTGATAGTGTTGTAAGGTGTTCATAGTGTACCATCTGATGGTGTTGTAAGGCGATCATAGTGTACCATCTGATAGTGTTGTAAGGCGATCATAGTGTACCATCTGATGGTGTTGTAAGGCGATCATAGTGTACCATCTGATAGTGTTGTAAAGCGTTCACCGTGTACCATCTGATAGTGTTGTAAGGCGATCATAGTGTACCATCTGATAGTGTTGTAAAGCGTGGACACCGGTGTATACTGTTCGCCTTCACTTGCTAGTGGTGTTTGTTACAATGTGTTATTGGTTGGCATGGCACAAGTTATATGAGCAAAGTTTAGCTATGATATATAATTCTTTATAAAACATTCACTGAAACTGATAATTATTATTACAATAGCTATACATATTCTGTAGCAAGGGAAGCATTACCTTCTGGCCGCCACCCCTGAGTGTGGCAAAGTCTCCACAGTTGGACTCTCCAAGGGAGGACTTTATTTGTTGCAGGAGTTCATCAGGATCAGCAGTGTTGGTGGGACAGGGGTGCAGCAGGTGAGCCTCAATAGTACGGGTGCAAGAGCAGGGGTCAACTTTTAAGTGTATATTACACACGTAGAGGGTTAGGTTATCTGACTGTATTACTTTGGTAACTTTGGTAAACTGAATATTACTTATGTATGGACTATATAAGTCGTCTTCCGTGGTAGTATTGTCGTCCCAAGGAAGTCCTTTAGTGTCATCAGCAGGTGTACACTTCATCTTTGTCAATCTAACTGTTGCTGTGTATCTCGAAGCTGAGCTTGAGGGCTCCTCAGTCTTGACAGAGCTGTCACTCAAATTAAGATTTTGTTGACTGTTATAGCGCTCTGCGGCTACTTTACCTCTCCAGGGGTGAGGGGAGACCTGCATGTTTTTCACGTAGACCTTGACAGGAGGGTAAAGGACCATAGCCGTCAGGGAGCACGAGACGACGACCATCAACCGACGACGACAACTCGCCATCTGTTGGACACGAGAAGGAACTCAGTCGTGGTACTGTACTGTACTGTATTGTACTGTACATGTGTCTCCTCTCCTGTGGGTGGAGGTTATTGTGATTTGTTTGTGTTTACGTTGGTCATTTAGGGAGTGAGGAACGTATTGGTCCAGGTCTGTCAGGGGGTGAGGGTAGCTTAGGTTACGTGTACAGTAACGTAACAGTACTCTTAACTGAAATTTAATAAAAACTATCGTGAACGTTGAATTAATTGGGTAATTAACAAGGTCAGAATTTTATTTTTTTAATCTCAAATGAGTTATGGTAAATAAACTCTCTAGTTTATCATGTCATTATCATTGTATGATTTTTTTTCATAGATGATTTTCATCAGTTACGAGCCAAACAAATATTCTCCAAGAATTCACTTCTACACTGTTGATCTATAGAATAAATAATAAATTAAACTTACACAGTGAGAGAGAGGACTATTGACACACCTCTTCCCAGTTCGTGTTTCATCTCTCCTCACCTTCTTCCATTTACCACAACAGTACTGTACTAACAACTTGCTCTTCACTTTTTTTTTAACGTGGCCTCCAGCCTCCCGCAATAGCCACACATTCGCCTCCATTTTATTACCTTAAAATTAAATATCCTAATAAAAAAATAGCTACCCTAGCTGTGCTGAGTTAGTTTAGCCGCACATCTAAGCGACATTCAGTGACTGTTGCCAGTCAAAATTTTGCGACCGTTGTCGGCTTTGGGGCCGACGATCTCATTCCCCCGAGGCAAAGCAATGCAGACCTAATCAGAGAGAAGGGCAGTCGACATCTCAACCAGGCTGCAACGTGGCATCTGGGCTGCTGCTTCTGCTCAGACAACAATTCCGCGTCTTGCACTTGGTCCCATCCCGCCAGAGGTTGTGAATACCAAAGGAGTGAAGCTGCCCTGATCCTCATTCTGAATTCTCTTGCCTTACGCCCTAATCTTTTCGTTCTCATTCCTCCTGTGTGCAGCCTCAAGAGATAAGTCAGTGACATGGGCTATGGGGTTCAATATCCTGACATCAAAGAAGGCTCGCTTTCCCCGCGTCCAGAATCCTCGAGTGCTGACGTCCACACGGGATTCGTTAGATGTGTTGGAATTCCTGTGACGGAGGTTTTCACCGACCAATGGAAGGAGGGGCGGTTCCACCGTGACGTCGTGGCAGATATCCTTTAGTAAATTTGCTGTGAGATCCCTTACTTCGTCATGGCTCTTGTATACGAAGCCGCCTTTCTTGCACGCGATGGCGTGCTCAATGTCGTAGGATGAGCCACACACGCAATGGGAGGGCAAACCTTTTACTGGCCTACCGTACCTTAGAGCAATGGTATCAGTGAATTCTTTGTTTATTAAGGCTGAAGCCTTTTGCCCTTATTGGTATTGTTGTTAGCCAGCTTGAGGCGCCAACCTCCTGCGCTGTAGCTATTTTTTGTTCAAGTTCTCTGGCAATTGCTACATCAGTTGTTGCAGTTTATCACTTTAGGTGTGCTGTCTATCTGTCGTAATAGACTTTGGAATCTTCTTTAATTCATTGGTATCCACCTCACTTGTTGTATTCTGAGCTATTATATGCTCAGTGAGGGCTGTCGTGAGCTTGACTGAGTTCTGATGTTTGGTGACGGCAAGCTCCTCTGGATTGGTCATTCCCATTGCTCCCAGTCTCAGTGGTGGTGCAAGGAGTGAACCTTTCTGCTGGGGTTAAGTGAAAGTGTACCACAGAAATAAGTCATTAATTTTTATCTTTCGTAATCAGGGTTTATTAGGCTAGGTCAGCATGAATAAAGGTATCAATATCAGCTGTAGCTGCCATCAGTAAGTGCAATGTCGTGTTAACCTTCTCAGTCCCCAGCGTTAAAAAAATAATGTTGCCTTTTGATTTATGAGGAATTGTGAGAGTAATTAATTCCTTTAAATTGTTCAATGGTACTTCAACAAATTGCAGCAGAAACGATATGCTTAATTAATTCTTCAGGATATACTGTAGTACCGGGTTGTATGCGGTTTATGTGAGGCAAGAAATAATTATCGCAATGGGTGATGTAACATAATGACAGACATATAAATTACAATATTAATATACCGCTGTCAGTTGGCTATTGCAAGGTAGGTATTGTGCAGTCTGGATTTCGTAACGGGAGGGGAGGGGATCTAAATTCGGCCAGCGAGGAAACTGTGTGAGGTCCGAGTGGAGTATTGTATTGTACATGGTAGAGAAAAGTTTGATAATAGTGGTACTGCATCTAGTTAACCACACCTTGATACAGTCTTAGTTGGATGACATAGTTAAGACATCTAGGGATATAAATACTGGAAGAAATTTTATTTCAGTAAAACAGACCCGGCAAATTTAACTGGAAATTTAGAATCTGAAGATTTCTTAGAACTAGTTAAAGACTGTTTCCTTTAATAAAACAAACTCTGACAAATGACATTGAAATAAGAGCGAATTATAAAATTGTGATTATAAAGAAATGAGTTTTGACATAACATGACTCAAAAGTCAGAGAAATTTCAATTGGATTCCCAGATTTTCGTAAAACAGATTATAATGTATGAAGGCTCACCAGAGAGGTAGGTCGTTCGGGGTTGGCAGAATTTGACTTGATCTCAGTAACCGTGATTACACGGGTGTTATGACCTCGGTGGAAGACCTAACTAGTTTGGGGTAGGAGCTGCGACAGGTGACTAGATATCGGGATACACACTAGAGGAATATCGTAAAACTTTCAAATGTATGTGAATAGTAATGAGCCTAAGCGGATGAACAAATGAGTGAAGAATGCCATTGGGCAAACACTTGTATATACTGTACTGAAGAACCAGACAGGGGGACGTTCACCTACATAATCGTTCTCTTGAATTAACCAGGAGTCAATAAAGATACAAGAGAGGCTAAACGATAAGTGTGGGGAGCTGAGATCGAGAATGAAGCTTTTACAAATAATATCGCGCAAAAGCCTGCGAAAAATATACTACTGTACAGGTACGTATTATATCTTGGAGCGGATGACATACTTCTTGTCAAACATTTAGAATATTATATGTAATGGAAACTGAGTATCTATTCTCTTATCAGACGTAGAATAAGAGGCGATATGACCGAGGTTTACAAGTAAAAAGTGAGGTTACATCAAGGTGATATAAATAAGGTATTTAAACTACCAAATCAATACTGACCTCGTAACGCTGGCTTTTAATTAGTTAAATTGTATTTAGGAAGGAAGCACTTACTGATGAGTGGAATATATCTCGCCATTAAAAGAATTACTTTGGGATCTTCCAAGAGCAGGTTGGAGATGCGGTATACATGAGTGATAAGGGATGGCAGCCGCCTCGCACGGGCCATTTACCTTACCCTGGTGCTATACAGTTTCCTATATTCTTACGTTCTTATGAATTACACTTGCATATTAGCTTTCAATAATAATCCTGTTTAGTCCTTTATGATGTTGGCCACCTACATCCAGCGTAGAGGACGACCAACACACTCATCCAGGACAGTATCCGTATCAGGAGGACGTTCCCGCGTCTTAGCCAGTCCTGTCAGGCTGTGGTTGTAGGTTTGGGCCTCATCAGGGTACTGTGTGACCCTCACTGGTGTATTGTGTGACAGGGAGTGTGCCATGAGAGATCTCAAGTTTAGGAATACAGTTAGCTAGCATGTATCACAGCTGAATCGAATCGATGGTTGAAGTAAAGTGTGAAGAGATCGTGATCCGCTGATGCGGCGTAGATTGGTGGTACGGGAACTGGACTTGATGAATGATGATGGACTTTGGAGGGACTTGGGGTTGGTGGATAGTGCAAGAAAAAAGATGAAGAAATTGGAAAATAGTAGTAGGATGATAGGTCTTGGGGCTCAACCCAGGTGCTTCTGTTGTCTCATGTGTGTGTTTCTGCTAATTTTCGTCGAAGGTATTATATTTGTGTTAGGTGTTTGTATGTTTAGCAAGTGTTGCAGCTTATGCCTTACATTTTAGTGTCTTGTGTCCTAGCCAATGGTGATGAGTCTAGGGCAGGTACTTGTGTTTCTGCTAAGAACATCCCGTATTTTTATAATCTAATGTTACGAGTGGTAGGGCTACCGAGATTGTCACCGGGGTGAAGTTGCATTCTTTTAAGAGTGGAGTTGGTGTAGGTTCGAGGGCTCTCCATTTACTGCGTGTAAACCACGTGTTTTCTTTCTTCATCAATCACTTCCATTCATTCTGTGATTGGTCCTGTCTCTATGTCTTCTAACTTCGTCCATATTCTTTCTGAGTAGTTGGTGACTATATCAGGATATTTGATGTTATATATATCACAGCTGAAGCTAGTTTGGGTGGCAGTGTTCGTCAGTGTCGGCTGGACGACACTTCCCTGTAAAAACGATATTAATCATGGAGCTATGTATTCAACAATAAGCTCGGTGCTTGGTATTTTAAATTTATTAATTTTCTTTTGGGGAGAGATTCCTGGCAACCTGAACACTCACTCCTGGTTAGGTGTCTGATAAAATTACCAGGAGTATACTGTAGTGTAATGCAGTAGTAGTGGGTGACGGTGGAACATGATTGCAGGGGCTGAGTGATTGGCTAACGAAGGAGCTTAAGCGTGTATGTTGACATGTGAGTTTGGATGTATCCGACAGCGTGTTGGTAGATTATTACAACAGGGGGGGGGGGGTCTGAACCCTTGTATCCCGCCCCCGACTGCTTCTTACACAAGATCTGTGAACTGCGATCACATAAAGGAGTGTCAAATGACTTGCCTGGCCTTGGTGGTAAAAGACAAAAGATCAATGTTCGAATAATCACAAGGCTGTAGTGCAGTTCTATGGACTTAAAATTTGTATCCGCTTTCAACATCAAGCATTAATGTTAAATTAAAGACTTAAAGACTTGTTAGTTTGTGTCTTCACTTGCGTGTGGGATCTTTCTCTGTGTGTCATTATGATATACATTTTTTTTAGCTTGATCGAGCTGGAGACTGAAATTGG